AAAGTGAGGTTTGGCGTACGTCAGGTCTAGTCGCACCTTGGGGACCAAGGAAGTGCAGTGCACGTTGCATTCTTGAACATAATTACATAATTTGTCATGACAAGATCAAGACAAGCATCTCTTCTGGTTGGTACTTCTACTAACTGAGATATAAAATTATCATTTATTAGTTTCATAGACCTGTTTCCCTTAACTGTACAATTATTCCCTCTTGCCTAATCAATTTCTGGATAAACAAATCTCCCGTGATTAACAAATTGCATATTTGTGATGCCTTATTAATTTGAGATTTCAGTTTCTCTTCCCCATCAGTATTAATGTTCGGGGTCTTGTAACATATTCCTACTATTAATAGATAATTAGGGGATAGTCTCCACCTATGCATATTTCTACCCATAAGGCTTTCACATCCTCACCTAAATCATCACATATAATTTCTTTAACACTTGGCTTCAAATCAGGTTTAATATAAAGACATACCCCATCCTTTTCTATATTTTTCTATACTTTTTTCTTAATAACATATATCCATTTAAATTAATAGCTCAATCAAGTATTTCATCACTAAGTCTTATGCATGTGCATGGGAACATTTTTCGGTTCGGTTCGGCTCGACATTCCTGAAATTCGGGACTTCGGCAATTCGGCACTTCGACACTTCGGCAGCTTTGGCACTTCGACACTTCGGAACTTCGCCACTTCGGAATTTCGGCAACTTCAGCACTTCGGCACTTCGGAACTTCGGAACTTCTATTGCAGCCGCTTGGTAGATAACTCCCTTGTTCCCACGGTATTAGGGAGTTATCTACCAAAAGGCTGAAAGACCTAAATTGGTCTTTCAGACAAATTTACTAATACTAAGTAAAGATTACTTAGTATTAGTAAATTGCGCCCCCACTCGCTATACCACGAGTAGGGGCATCTCTAGTAAACAGTGAGCAGCCAGTGGCCAGGGTGGGGGCCCTAAATACTAATTAGGGGGGGACCTAATGTCCTCCCCTCTGGACCCCACCCCTGAGCGGTGGTTGGGGGCCCTAAATACTAATTAAGGGGGGGACCTAATGTCCTCCCCCCTGGCCCCCACCCCTAAATAAAAAAAATAACTCCCCCTCCCGCAGGTGACTAGGGGTCCCCAAACCCCAAGTCACCCCCTCCCCCCAAAAATTAACCCCTATCTACCCCCTCACCCTAAACATAATGAGGGGGGACCATTTAACTAAGTACCTGTAATAAAATAAACTTACCATTTGTTGTTTTCTTTCTTCCAAAATCCTCTTTTTTCAGCCCCCAAAAAGGCCAAATAAAAAGCCATTTAGGTTGTTCAGCCCTTTACTTAGTACTTAGGCAAAACTGTGCTTCGGAACTTCGGCACTTTGACACTTCTGAAATTCTTTAATTTCTGAACTTCGGGACCTTGGTAATTCAGCACTTCGGCAATTCGGCACCCGAATATCCAAAGTACCTGAATGTCCGAATTGCTCGAAATTCGTCCGAATACATACAACGAATTGCCCATGTCTACTAAATCTCAATAAACCCAATTATGTCATGCTGCTCTATGTATGCCAATATCTTAAGCTTCATTTTCTTACACAAGCTTCTTGAATTAACAAGCAGACATTTCAAATTACCATTTGTTTCTTTAACTTTATTTATACAACATGTAATTAATGACATTTAGCTCTGTCTGCTAATTTTACCATTTCCCCTATCTCTACTCTCCTTGACTTCAGCTGAATACCAACTAGTTTCTATACTATGTACCAGATTCACCCTTCTTTGGCCCTCCCCCCTACTCCTAGTTTAAAGATATTGCCAACCTTCTAGCCATCCATTCCCCCTATTCAGGTTCAATTCACCTTGGCTATAAAGATTGTACCCATGTGCAATATCGGCCCAGTGCTTTAAAAACCCCAAATCTTCCTTCCTACACCAAGACTTGAGCCACACATTGACCTCTGTAATATTCTGCTGCCTTCCACTGTAGCATGTGGTACAGGTAATATCATAGGTAACCATTGCTGTTTGGAGACAGAGAATGTAACTCTTTATGTCCTGTCCACTTTGGAATGCTTTTCATCCATTTTTGGAGGATTACTGCAGAGTTTATTTTCTTAAATATTTCAGATTATAGAACCTACATATAAATATATACTGGGGAGGATAGAAATTAGTCTTAGTATTTTTAGTGGCTAACGTCCATCATCCAATTAAGAGTGTTTGCCATCATCCACTTAAGAGTGTTTACCTTCTACTTTGAATCATTTGGAAGAGAGACTACTACACATATAGTGCTTCCATATTTGCTTTTATAACTCACTAATTAAAATAAGTAGCACTTCTTTTTTCCCCCACCCCCCTCCAAAAAGGCTACAAGTTACATTATAGTACTGCTATTTTTATCCTCAGTTTAATAATGATAATAATAATAATAATAATAATAATAATTTTTTATATACTTTTTTATTTTTCAATTTTGATAATTTCTAAAATATTTTTTGATCTTGTAATATTTTGAAAAAGTAATTTTACAAAGTTTATCCAAAAATATTAAATAGTTTGAAGGCTTGTCAAAAATATTAAATTGAGGCCATTATCATTACTGCTATTACACTGTGATGAATATAGCTAGATAATGTTTTTGTGACTGAGTGATATTTAAGTATTGTTTAGCTCCTCTCTAGCTATATTTGAGACATATTAAAGGGTCTATCCACACATGCAAGTGATTGTTTTATTTATTAGTTATGATATAATAACATTCTTTGTAATTTTGTGTAATATTCCATTAGAATGCACATTTTCTTAGTGCCATGGACTCGCTTGTGCTGGAGAGCTCTTGAACTATGAACAATAGATTGTATCAGACTAAATCTTATCCTCGATATAAAAAAATTAATAATGAATCTCTGTTGGGACATCCTGAAACTTGTGGTGATGCCACCAATGTCACTTAAACCTGTATATCTCTGGTAGGACATATGCTTATAGTTCTTGCCTCCCAATCGTGACTGATGCATCTGAACTTTCCAAAAAATAATCCACTCCATTATTAGAAAACAGTTGTCTGGTCTTTTTAATTATTATTATTATGTTATTATTTATATAGCGCCAACAAATTCCACAGCGCTTTACAGTGGGTGGACGAACAAACATGTAGTTGTAACCAGACAAATTGGACACACAGGAACAGAGGGGTTCAGGGCCCTGCTCAATGAGCTTACATGCTAGAGGGAGTGGGGTAAAGTGACACAAAAGGTAAGCATAGTGTAACGGATCACCTGGCACCCCGACTGGGTACCTCCGTTGAAGGATGCTCCTAGCGCTTCCTGAGGACTCCAAGCACTGCAGCAGACACCACAACCACCGAACCGGAGAAGCATACGAATGCTCTCAAGCATATGCATGCTGTAAGCAGCTGAACAGGAAAAGCATACAATCAGCTTACACTCCTGGCAATCAGCATACAATCCAATTCCCCCAATAACGAGACGACACTTCGTTTTGAGGTCAAGCAGAACTGCCTGTACTGGCACATACAGCCTCTTTTATTCACAATCCACAAACATAGTACTGCCCACAGGGTTTTAAAATACAACCAATCAATCCGTACAATACACACAGACACTCCCACACAAAATCCTCCCCTCTGCCTGTGATATGCTTACTGAACACAATTGTTAATATAATTATCACAGGCAGAGAAATACTGTATTATAAAACATATAACAGGGACCCCAAAATATGCAAAAAAAACCATAAAAACCGGAGGATATGGGTGAACCGCATATCCAAAATTCACCCAGATCCGTTCAGTTTGGAAGATACAGTTTAATGCAGATTTTGCAGAACATATACAGGCTATATGAAAAATAATTACTGTATAATGTGTCCCCTGTTATATAGTTTAAAACTACTGCACAATGTCTTTGTGCACAAAATACCGGCGAGATGGCACCGTGTAGAAAAGTCCAAACAGTGTCTGTGAGTTAAAATGGCCGCCATCCATTGTTCTCACCATGTGCTCCATCCATTGTTCTCACCATGTGCCTCTGATACATGAAATGGTGGCCACCCAGTAACTCCACAGTTTGTCTGGTAGTCTATCCAGCCGGACCAACAGATGAAACACATGGGGAACAGTGCAACAAACAAAGGGAATCATAAAAAATATGGACAATAGTCATATTTGTGCACAATCTCCAGTTTTGTCACAGGGCACACATATTGTTTTCAAATGCCATATATCCCAGGGCCATAGTCAGAAGGTAGGAGGCGGGCAAGCAGCCCCCTCCAAGAACACGTGGCGAGGCCTGTTCCGCCACACATAGTATTAGACTAATGACACTTGCAAGAGAGGAATCAGTTGGGAGATATTAACAGTTTAATTGATACGCTTTTATGAAGAAGTGTTTTTTTTGTTGTTGAAGAAGTGGAAACTGTGTGAGCATCTAGCTGAGGAGGGAAGTGAGTTCCACAGGAACGGTGCAGCCCTCGAGAAGTCTTGAAGGAGAGCATCAGAGGTGGGAGTACGGACAGAGGATAGACGTAAGTCTTCAGCAGAGAAGACTTTTCATACTGCTTTGGTAGTAGTTAGGTATTAACCATCTGCAGTGTAGTCATACTATTTTTAATACTGTAGCATTTAATACTGTATCATTTAATACTGTAGCATTTTTAACTCTTATGTAACATGTCTATCCAGTAAATCTTACACATATGGAAATGAATCAGCAGATAATCTCAAATGGTTGTAATGCATTCAGCAAAAAGTTGGCTAACTTGAATAGTAAAGCCCACTTCATTACACAGGTGCTGTCAGAGTACCAGAGGTAATTGAAAGAGTGAGGAAGTCAATGAAACTTGGCAATGCCACCAATAGCACTCAAATTATCTCTGGTTGGAGTGAGCTGCTCAGGTAGTAGAGTAGCTCTAATGAGAAGTCGTTATATACCAGGTAAGGAAGGAATGAATTTGTGACTAGTTTGTGACAGATGTATCTAGCCACAGTCACTGACTGGCTTTGGTATTTGTTGTGTAGTCTCTTTCCTTACCACTGATACTGTTACTTTTTAGTGTCTGAATAGAACACCACTTTTACAATACAGTTCAGTTTATCAATATAAAGTGCAAATGAGAAGTCAGGGTTTAACCACATCCCAAACTATTTAGAGATATTAAGTAGTTTAGGTAAATTTGCAGTATGACTATTGGATTATTTTGTTGAAGTAATTAGTTCTTTAATAGTATATTTTGTCAATACAAAGGAAGGAGGAGATGTCATACATATTTGTGTTTATATTTATTACTGTATTTATCGTATTTATCTTGATTAATGTGTGTGGTGTTGCCAGAAGTGGATGTAAAATCAATGTATCTTTTCTGACAGAACCAGGAAGTATCATTATGATTTAAGATCCTGTACACTTACAACAATTCACACAAGTCTATGTACTTTTCTTAAAATTCTTCTTATTCTTCCTAAAGGTTTTGTGCAGTGTAGATATTTAACGCGCGTTGCTGGGGATGGGGATACATTTCTGGAGTTTTTGTCAGGAATTTGTCTAGCAGATTGTGCAAAGCTAGTGCAAAGTGAAACACAGTACAACCAATGTCTACATACCTGCATGTTGAGGCCTTGTTTTGGAATGGTTAATTCATAAGCATTATCACATGTGTCTGTAACTAAATCAGTGCTGTGCGCGTGTGCAACTGAATTAAAGGACCACTATAGTGCCAGGAAAACATACTCTTTTTCCTGCCACTATAGGGTCTCCTAGGTCCCCCCCACCCTTAGGGTCCCCCTACCGCCGGGCTCTAGGGTGAGGAAGGGGTTAAACACTTACCTTTCTCCAGCACCGGGCTCCCTCAGCGCTGGAGACTCGCCTCCTCATTTCCCCGTCATCGACTGAATGCGCACGCGCATTCAGCCAGTCTCACAGGAAAGCATTCTCAATGCTTTCTTATGGATGCTGGTATCTTCTCATTGTGAAAATCATAGTGAGAAGCGCAGAAACGCCTCTAGCGGCTGTCAATGAGACAGCAACTAAAGGCTGGATTAACCTATTTGTAAACATAGCAGTTTCTCTGAAACTGCTATGTTTACAGGAGAAAGGGTTAATCCTAGGTGGACCTGGCACCCAGACCACTTCATTAAGCTGAAGTGGTCTGGGTGCCTATAGTGGTCCTTTAAGTTCTGTCATGCATTGCATAGTAAATGCTATAATATTAATCTGATAGTAATATAACAGGTAGCTGGTACTTCTGGAGTGAGCTCAGTGGCCACTTGAGACTGGCTGATGAGTACTCTGCAAAGGCCAAAACCATAAATTATTTAAAATGTATCCAAATTTATTCTGGAAGTGGTGTAACCTGTATATGGAGGTAACTTGCACCAAAACTGTATAATTACCAGTCTTAAGCTGCATTGTACAGACTTTAGAATGCAGACTGGAAATTGAAATTCTTCTTCAGTTTCCAACATGGTATTTGGACTGAGGGCAACCTTTGTACATGTCTGAGCTCACTATATACTTTGTGGAAATATATCAAGTAGATTTTTAACAGATTCATAAGCAAGGTTAACATAGCAAAGCACTACTCCACCTTCACTGTATCAATGCAATTGGTAGTCACAATAAAGTTCTGTGGATTTTAAAACAAACATGAAGATTGATCGCATGTATAACTGGGAAAAGCTTGGCACTAAAAGGATTTCCACTTCAGTTCAAAATCGTGGTCTGTGCTTTCTGCACATGCAGCATAAACATCATGGGCCTGGAGAAAGGAAGCAGCTCCAGATCATTTCTGGAAAACAAATAGGTTTGTTAAATTATTAGAGGGTCACTTTAACTGATATGATATCATTACTGACATATTTAAAAATTAATAAAATTTTATAAGTTCTAGAAATACCACAGCTTTTTTTATTCTCTGTCTCAGTCCACAATTTGTTATTGCTGGATAAGCTTTTCAAATTATTTCATATTTTTACCTGTTTAACTGTTTTTGGCTGTTGGAGTAATACTCAAAAAACCCTCAAGTTATTTAAATATGCATAGGGATTTGGAATAGTACATAAGGCATAAGTAGCTATGCATTGGGGCTGATGTGTACTATAGTCATTGCTGCCACCCATCATCAATAATATATCCTAATCCCTAGAAAAAAATTGAGGAAGGGTAGGAGAAGGGGTTGTGTTCCCCAATCCACTATCATTGCAGTGGTACCATTGCAGGATTACTAATTGATCCAGCATGCAGAATTGTGTCACACCTAGGACAAAGGATAACGTCTAACCGGACCTTAGAATGGCTGGACTTAAAGTATCCAAGAATAGTCAGAATACTAGCCGAGGTCAGGTATACAGAATGAGGCACAGCGATGAGAAAAAGCCAAAAGTCAAGGATGCCAGAAATCAGAGAAGTCAGAACTAAGCCAGAGGCAAATGCCAAAATATCTAGATCAGGAACGCACTCTCGGATTACCATCAGGCAGAAACCATGACAGGGCAATGAGAGAATGTAAAAGTAAGTTTAAATAACCCTCCTGTTATTCTGATTGGCTGTAATCAGCCTTTTACCCCAAAATGTGTGTGCGCGTGACGTCACGCACATGCCGGCGTCCTCCTCAATGTGGGCGGTTATGGGGCTATAAAGTGGCATAGATCTGCAGCTGCCGGTGTCCCAAGACATGCTGGGTTTATCAGGTATCTGGGCGCATGGCTGTAGATGGGCACAGCTATTCCAGTCAGGATGGTAAATACCATCAAACACATTACTATAAGCGGATTAATTCGTTGCACTAATAGCAGGGCTTAAAATTTGGAATTACTAGCCATCCCTTAAAAGTTACTTGCCACTCTAGGCCAAAGCATGCCAACCTAGGGTATATAGCTCTACTCACTACTAACCAATGGCTAGTGGCAAGTTAAAAGTTTGATCCCTTCCTGAGAGCCTGAACACCACTTTCTTGATCATGAGGATTGCTGACAGCTGCTCCACCACTGCCTCCACTACCACCACCATGTTTAGTAGTATTTAGCCTCAGTATAAAAGGATTAGCAGCATGTCTGTTATGTCTGATTCACCACCCAATTGAATTTTTCTGAGTCTTTTTATGCTGTAACAACAGCTGGTTCAAGCATTACAGCGTTTGTGTTTTATGGTGGTTAGAGCATGGGATCTGTGAAATGGGTGTACTTTTTGCTATTGCCTGTGCTACTCCCTATTTATGTAGCCCCAAGGAGCATCTAAGAAAGAGCTCATCATAGACTTTGTCAATGCCATCTAAGCTATTTGAGCCACTCTTTACCGACGAGATAGAGCACAGTACCTAAGTAATGTCTGCTATGTATGGTTTTGCTGGTGATGGTGGTGAGAAATTTGATGATTATGAGATTGCACTTTCTCCCACCACTCCAGACATTTGTTTAAGTCTGTCCCAGGAGTAGACTATAATGCAGAGGAATTACAAGAGAATATTCAGGAGAGGAGAGGCAGCAGTCCACTATTTTCTGAACCTACGATGCCTTTGCCACCAAGTCCATGTTTATGTAGAATCGTCTTGCAGTGCCAGAAGTAGCTTACCCAGGGATATTATTGATGCCACCACCTCCCTTCCCATTACATTAGTCAACCAAGTACTAGTGTAGAAGCTAGTGGTGCGACAACTTCCACTTCATCTGCAAACATCTGCAAAGACAGCACAAGTCATTTTACTGACAGACAAAGCAGAAAGTGAAGGTACTAGAGCAAATTGGTACTGTATTTGATTCTGCTCAACTTACTGCAAACATCAGTACATCCTCCACTACTAACATAGATCAAGTGCAATGTTTAGCCACCAGGTGAGAGCTAAAGGTGGAGTCCCTCATCTGAGGGATGTGTCTACCAGCCAATCTTTGAACATATTGTTGCATTTCATTCCAGGGGCATGTCAAAACAGCAGTCTAACAAAATCACCCACCTAATTGCACAGCTGATCCCTTTAAGGTGATCTTCCTTTTCCATGATAGAAGGGCAGTATTTGAAACACATCCTGAGTTCATAATATGTACTTCTCTTGTGATTTGCTTTAAGCAGAAAGTCCTGATTTAATATTTTTGAATACATTTTTAAATGATTTTATATAATGAAACATTATTTAAATTTTGTAATTTTTTTTTATATTGCTATATTTAGTTAAATATAATATATATTGATATTTTATTCTGTTAAAAAATATATATTTTCATAATTTTTTAATTTTATCCAATAATATAAAATCATTTGGAAATCCTATCTAACAATATTAATTTGAGGTCATAGTACTATCACTATACTGTTCCTGCGTGCTGCTATTAAAGGAACAGATGGCTAAGACTGTAGGCCAATAGGTACACTTGACCACAAATTTATGGAGTGCTCCTAGTGGCCAACTGCTTCTGCATGACAGCACAATGGTGCCTGTGCCTGGGCAAGGAGGTGGTATTGGAGGAAGTTAAACCTTAGCAGCAAGTCATGCTGGGAGTGGATCTGTAGGACAGTAGGACTATCGATCTCTCTTGCTACATACTGACGAGATGGACACACTTTTATGAATGGACAATCATACGAATGGTGTCAAATTGGCTAGGAGAACAGACAGGCACCAATCTGTACTTTGGGTTCATGGCCACTGACGATGTTGCTAACTAGGGATGTGCATTGGCAAAAAAATCTGTTTGGTTCGGGAATTTGGAACTTCGGCAATTTGGCATATCGACACTTCGGCTCTGCACTTCCGAAATTCGTCACTTCAGCAATCCTGTATTAGCAATTCAGCACTTCGGCACTTCAGCAATTCGGTTCGGCACTTGCGGAATTCATCACTTTGGCAATTCGGACATTCAAAAGCATCCAAATGTACGTATTGCCGAAATTCGTCAGAATTTACATTCGGAATGAAACAAATTGCACATGTCTTTTGCTAACGTGGTCAAACTTTTGTATGTGTGCACTGTTCTTCACACATCCTACATTTTGCAATGAAGCCAACACAAAGGTATAAATCATATCTATGCATTGCAGGAGGATTGCATTTCCACTTAGTATGAGGCCTAGCCATCTCTTGTGAAAAGATGGCTTCCCACACAACTTCTACAACAGGATGCCGATAAGTGGTGGAACCTATTGTTCCAAAATGATGCTAGCTTCCCTGCGTGATCATAGGATTAAGTGGCTTAAAAAATCAGTCAGCACCAAAGTAGCTGTTTAGTAGATAGGGAGTGCGCTGGATTTTCATTTTTTACCATAGGAGTAAGTGGCACACCAATCCAACATATTGACACAGTGGAGAGACAGAAAAAGAGAGACATCCTAGTCAGGGGTGTATTCTGGTTTTTTGCTGCCCTAGGCATGACAAAACTCAGGCACCTCCTCCCCCTGCACCAACCCACCCTTCCCCTTGCCCCACCTTCTAAATACACACACATTCACTGACAGACACGCATACACTAGCTAACAGACATACACACTCACTAACAGACACATACAATCACTAGCATACACACACATTCACCAACAGACATGCATACACTCTCACTAACAGACACACACATACATAGTAGCACACTCCATAAGAGACACACTCCCTGACATACACACACTCACTAACAGACACACACACACACACTAACACACACACACACACACACACACTAACAGACAGACACACACACACACTAACAGACACACACACACTAACAGAC